GAGTTAACCGAATGAAAACTCATGGCCCTCCATGAAGTGCCATTTTACTTTGTTTTACAAGGTTAAGGAGCCCCTGCCTTGTGATTGATACGTATCAATGCAGCCAGTCGTAATTAGTCCTGCTCCATGTTTGGAAGAATGCAAGAGCTCTCTTACTTATTGCTGCAGACGAGCCTTCTTGTGCGCCCGCATATGCACATGAACTTTCCAACTCCAGGGGGGCTTTCCCATTTTTTATGAGGCAAAGAACAACTATTGGAGTACTGCTTCAAAAATAAATGCGCCCGTATATTCGACTTCCTCCGTGTATAACGGACAGGACATGAAAGGAGCTCTTTGTGTTTCGTAACTCATAAATCAAATGCTAGAGCTATGAGGCCGCATCAGAATCGGACGCTCACGAGCAGCGGGAAAGAGATGGCCCACGCACACAGACGTTCTCGTAAGAAAGACAATAGTATTTTTATTATTAGAGGAATGTCGTTAAATAACACACCATAAAACGCAAAAAACATGAGGTTTTTTAGTACTACCTGAACAAAAATAGCACGCCCTCCAGCATTTCAGCTTTACCAACATATAAACTACCATAAATCTCATGCCGAGATTGGCGCCAAACTTTTACACATATCAAACCCGCGACTTGTAGCAGTACTGTTTGCATGCACATGGAGTAAAGCACAATTGTATCGGAATTTACGGTGTTTCGGCATATATGAGTAGTCGACCAATGTAGAGAAGCAACCTGTGGAATTGTGTGGAAGAGGCGGATGTAGATCTTGGGGGGGGGGCGACCATATATATATATATATATATATATATATACTCTATATTTAATTTATATACTGACATACTTTCGACCCTCCTTTCTTCCTTCTTTCTTTTCGTCCTTGCTTCCTTCATTCCTTCCTTTCCTCCCTTCTTGCTTTGTTTCTTTCTTTTCTTCCTTCGATCCTTTTTCCTTGCTTCCTTTCCTTCCTTCCTTCCTTCCTTCCTTGTGTCCTTACCTTCTTGTGAAGAAGTCAGGAGGCCAGGCCAGGTCGAGAAGCCAGGAAGCCAATTAGTGTTGACGCAAAGAAGGCCAACAAGACAGCAAACCAGGAAGGAAATCCCATAAACCAAGAAGCCAAAAGACGACAACAAACCGGAAAGCCAAAAAGCCGAGAAGCAGAAAGCAAAAGCAAAAAGCAAAACCAGTAAAAAGCAAAGGCAGAAAACAACAGGCCAACGCCCAAAAGACGAATAAGCAAAAGCGAAAAACAAAAAACATTCCCCAAAAAAACAAAATAAATTCCTCAAATAATTAGGATTCCATTGTGAGTTCGCTCGTCATCAGGCGCCGTATCCAAGCACGCAGGTATTCATCCCTGCACCACCCGCACCACCGTTGCCACCGGCTCCCGTCCGTGTTGGCATGCATGACCGTCCCTCATCCTCTACTTCACCACCTCCACCTCCTCCTAGGTCAAGGAGCGCTGGGACTAGGAGCAGGGTTGAAGAGGTTGTAAGCGAGGAGCTGCAGAGGCAAGTAGAGAGGTGGCTTCCACAAAAGCAAGACGGCTCCACGCAAACCGACAGGGACCGAGTCTTTTGTCTGACAGGACAAGAGGCAATGTACAGCACTAGGAAAGGTGGGAGTTACCATTTCTTCAGAGACTGTGCAGCCATCCGAAACTCCAACGTTGACTCGAGAAGGTTTTGTGCTTTCTGCTTTAACAGGAGGTTCGGGACTGGATGACTCAGTCCGTTTTTTTCACAGAGATGGCATTAGTCTGGCGACGATGCCAAGGAGGGGTGTTGAAGCCTGAGTCTGCCCTCACCTCTCGAGTAGTTTCCGTCGTTTGAAGTGACTTGTCGTAGCCCTTGTGGTTCTTCAAGTGAGAGAGTGCAAGGCCCCTATGCTAGAAGACTTTAGAGTCGTGAACTTGGCCAAAGGCCGAACAGCCATCATAGGCATAGAAGGGCGTAGCCTCTCAACAAACTTTCAGAGCTTTGTCGAGTGAAGTGAGAAAACATTCCGTTCGAGCGCCATGGTCAGTTTCAGTTGTCTGGATTCCTCTTCTGGGATCATCCGATAAATTTGGAACGAAGCTTGAGCTGAGATGGACGGTGCAAATCCCAACATGCACGATCTTCCAGATCATCATAGTAGTAGTAGTAGTAGTAGTAGTAGTAGTAGTAGTAGTAGTAGTAGTAGTAGTAGTAGTAGTACTAGTAGTAGTATAGTCTTCCTGCCTTCCTTCCTGTCTGCCTGCCTGCCTGCCTTCCTTCCTTGCTGCCTTGCTTCCTTCCTTGCTTCCTGCCTTCATGCCTTCCTTTCTTTCTTCCTTCCTTCCTGCCTTCCTTCCTGTCTGCCTGCCTGCCTTCCTTCCTTGCTGCCTTGCTTCCTTCCTTGCTTCCTGCCTTCCTTAGTTCCTTCCTTCCTTCCTTCCTTCCTCGCCCTTTCTCCCCGCCTTCCTTCCTTCCTTCCTTCCTGCCTTCCCTCCTGCCATCCTTCCTTGCTGCCTTTCTTCCTGCCTTCCCTCCTTCCTTCCTTCCTTCCTTCCTTCCTGTCGTGCTTCCTTTAATAAGGGAAAGTTTTTTTTTGATTGGAAAAAAGTTTTTTTTTTTGATTGAAAAAAGTTTTTTGAATCAACAAAAGGTTTTTTTTGATTGGCATCGCTACATGTACAGGGCTTACGGGGCGCAGGGTTCCTGTTATTCTTCCCTCCTACCTAGCAAGGACGAAACCCGCATTGCAGGGAATCTCGGTTGAACATGCGGCAGCATAGCTCGCAGGGTTCCTGTTGTGGTTCAGAGGTTTGGGGCTTGAGGTTCTGATCAACTAGGCTATCGTTTCAGGGTTTGGGGTTTCGTACAGCAGATCCTGAAATCTGCAAAGCCCGAAGCCTGAATTAAAGCTCCCAGCCCTAAATTCCTGAGCACCTGAGGTCCGTCCACTCTCAAACTCATCTCTAAACCTTCACCCTGATCTGGCACATGCCAACATGGAAAGCCGATACTCCGGACATCCCAGGATCCTTTAAGCTCAAGCTCTAAACTATCAAGGACGTTGCAACGATACTTATGTAAGACTTATATCGACATCGAATCGGTATCGTCACTGAGCGGAATCCCCGTCGTAGAAAACTACATCGCGTAAACCGACACCTCAAGACACTGCATCCAATGATTATCATTAAGTCAATAAGTCCATGCCGACAACCTCAACACTAACCTCCCTTGGCATTCCAGCCTCGTAGCTGATCTGGCATTCATCACCCGGTCGCGGTGAGCGGCCGTCCGTCGCTTTGCGAAGCTCTTTAAGAGCGCCCCCGTCGCCAAAGATGTCCTCTTGGCAGCTAGGGCAGTTTGCTTGGCTTCGAATGTTGTTCCGTCCATGGGGAGTGCAGGGCAAGGTCCCTTGCGGCCTTCCCGGGATGGCTTTGGGCTGTGGTTGGCAATCTTGGTGATCCGGGATCCGTAAAGTTTTTAACGAAACACGGAAACACCTTCCTAAGCAGTCCAGAACTCTCTGAACCCTCAGTTGAGTGGGTCAGACTCGCAGCCCTTCTCTTCAGGCTGTCCTCGCGCAAAGGGCAGGAGACCAGCTCCACGGAGAGGGTTAGAAGACTCTCAGGCGACAACTCAGCGGGGAGGGAGCTGCCATAAACCAGGCGGGAGGCCATGCAAAAGTCTGCCTGCTCACCCTTGAAAAGGCGCTGTACCGCGATGTCCAGGCCAGGAAGACTCAACTGTTGACCGGCGGTATACTTACAGCTCTCTTCCGAGAAACCCTGCACTTCGCCCTGAGAAGCTGCCAAGGAAAACTTGACTTCCACCTCATCCCCCAGACGTGGAGGCAAGAACTTCCGCGTCGGTGGGTGGCGCTTGGTGGCCTTGGTCACTCCTTCAGGCAACTCGAGAAGGCTCTCCATCACTCGCACATACTAACACCCGTGTGGGCATCTGCACCAGCCTGGGAGCTTTAAAGGTGAGGGTCTTGGTATTTTAGATCTTCTTTGAGAATGATGGGGGCTCCGTGGTCTGCGTGTTGATTCTGCAAATCGCGGCACTCTCTTGGTCCAACGGCTGCAGCTTTCGGCGGGTCCCAGGGTCCTAAGCAGTCCAAAGAAGGTCCCAAAACAGTATCGTGACAGATGGACACCCACCAAGCTATCGATGCATCTCCTTGCCCATCTCATGCTTCATATATCCCCATACACACATGTATCACATGGAGTGCACACATAAGAGACGTATGTTTACACAACTTCACGAACAAGACAATGTACTTGCACTACATTCCGGCGTAACCAAACGCCGGCCCCATGGCAGTCCCCTCCATGACAGTATGTAAGAAGCCCCGAATCCCCAAAAAAGTTTAAAAAAAAAAAAAACCTGAAACCCATTGAAGCCCTAAGCCCTAACTACACCCCATAAAGCCGTGAGCCCAACCCCTAGAAAGCTCTAAAGCCCGACGCGTAAACCCAAAGCGGTTTAGGCTCTAGGTTAGGTACGGCCCCCATACAGTAAGACTCTATAATAGGGCTACTATTAAGCTCCTACTATATCTATATTATGAATCTTATTCAACTATTACTGAGTGGGGGCCGTACCCAAGCTCTAGGGTTTCGGGTTCAGGGCACAGATAAACTCCAAAACGACACCCTTAAAAATAAAAGCCCTAGCGCCCTAAACCCAGTCAAGTCCCTAAAATCTGAACCCTTAAAGCCCCAAAGGGCTAAAGCCCTATAATTGCATGCCCTACAGATATAAAGCCCGCAGCCTTCACAGTCTTTGTTGAGTTGCAAACCCTAAACCCCAAACCGCTCTTGAACCCAGACTCTGCCGATCAGCTGGGAAGCAGCGCTAATCCTCGAAACCTCACCTCTCTTCCTTAAATTAGCGTTAACTTTAGCGGCTTCGAACCCTAAACCCCATGCAAACCCAAGGCCCTAAACCCGAACCCTAATCCCTAAACCCCCAAACCCTACACCCCAAACCCTAGAATAGCAGACCTTCCGGACATGGCAGCTGCTCACAGGGATTCGGGCAGTAGAAGCCTGAGAAAAGCACTGATAAGTAGTCCGGGGCGTGCTGATTTAAGGTTGAGGACTTAGGACCCAGGGTTTCAGGCGGTTTATGCTAGATTCGCCAGACAAGGTCTCGTGGTTCGGAAGTGCCTTAGCTGGTCAGGGAACAAGTTGGCAATCGACTTGTCGGGTTTTCGACGCGGTTTAGGGTTTAGGGGGCTGCTCTTACGGTTTGGGGCGATTTCGGCGCTCGCACTTCAACAAACCAGGCGAGGCAAATGACGACAAGTCCGCATGAGACCGGAGTGAAACCACACATGACGTTGATGAGAGAAAGAATCACAACACTAACCCCATACAGCAGACCCTAGTAACAGGGCTATCAGGGTTTAGGACTTTCGGCCCCAGTCTTACCAAGTTACGGCGGCGAGGGTTCAGGACCACTCAAGACTTGGGGCTAAGGCTTTACCGCCTGGCTGGCACGAACCCACGGTGCAGCGTCAGATGTAAGACTGATAACGGAGATCTCGGGTTCAATGGATTCGGTTTTTTGTCAGACTTAACGCTGCCTTCCTTTGTTGAGTCCAGCCCAGCGATAGTTGGCATCATCCAACGACTAGGGCATGAAGCTCCTTGCCGCTGCGGCTCATGATCATATGATCAACTTCGCCAGACCCTGCACTCAACAATCCTAAATCCCCTAAACCCTAAATCCCCAAGTGCCTAGGCAGTGAGCAATAGTCGCGTAAACTCGAAAACCCTTTTTCAGAGTTCTTGCCTCGTCGCCGGAGAGCTCCTTCCTCCCAACACGTGTGCCCAAGCAGAAACGAACCGTTACTCAACCCTGAACCCAGAGAGCCCAATACCCCTCAATTAAGGAATATAGCTTAAATCATATTATGCGCCCCCTTATAATTTAAGCTATATTCCTTAATTAAGGGGTATTGGGCTCTCTGGGAACCCTAAACCCTGAACCGTAACCCTACACTCTAACCCCTGAACCTACGCCCCAAAACCCTTAAAACTCTGAACCCGGAAACTGGCCCTAAACCCTCCTTGGAGGATCATGGGACTTAGTAAGGTTATAAGTACCCTATTTCGGGGTTATAAGTATAGATACACTAATTATAGCCCTAGTTACTAAGTCCCATGATCCTTTAAGTACCCCTGATCCCTAAACCCCAAAGATCCCTTTAAGGAACCCTATAGATCCCTTAAAAGAGCCCTTTAAGGAACCCTAGTTACTAAGTCCCATGATCCTTTAAGTACCCCTGATTTCGCTGAAGATCGATCCGATAGGAGCCTGAACAGTCCGAACAGGGTTCTACTCTACCTATAGGCTCATACCCTACCCCTTTTTTAAGGTACCTACTTTTCTATGTAGAAGATCCTAACCATAAATTAGGTACCCTAAAAAAGGGGTAGGGTATGACCCTCTAGGTATGTTCTGACCGCAAGTACAATAGTGGGATACTATTGCTACATGATAGGCCCATACCCAGACATCCCTGTGCTTCCAAACCCTAGATGCTAGCCCGCAATCCCGTTCTTTGGGGAGTGGCTGCAGTGCTGTGCTCCGTAAACCACTAACTCTCCCCCTAAATCCGAAACACGATCCTCAACCCTAGCCCGACAGCAATGAATGAATGTACCCAGAGGCCCCAAAAGTAGTTCCTTTTTGGGGCTCAGTTCTAAGAATCCTCTAAGGTAATCCCAAAAAGGAACTACTATGGGGCCTCTGGGGTAGTTTCTTAAGCCCTAAACCCCAGAGATCCCTTAAAGGAGCCCTTATAGTACCCTTTAAAGGGGCCTTTGGGGTAGTTTGTGAGTTTCCTGGGCCCCGCGCCCTTCTTACAGATTCGCGGAACCAGCGAGCCCTCCTTGGTCTACCCAGAGGCTCCAGAGTAGTTCCTTTTTGGGGATTACCTTGTAGGATTCTATCTATCTATCTATATATATACATATATATATATATATATATGAGCCCCAAAAAGGAACTACTTTGGGGCCTCTGGGCAGCTTTTAAGCTTCTCGAGACTCTTTGGCCGTTGTGATCGGGGTTTACATCTGTTGGCTGGGGGGGAGGGGCATGGGGGAGGCAAGAGTTAAAAGGTCTGCGTTCCTGAAACCTTTATCGTAGTGCCTGTTAGCACAGAACCTTGACGTAAGGGTTATTGGAGGGTGCCTTAACTGCGGCGGTGTAAGACTGCAGCACTGTCCAGTCGTACGACACACCAGCAGGCAGCGCAACTTTGACAGGGCTAGGTGTAACTGTTTCCACAGTACCGCGGCCCTGTGCCTAAACTTCCTCTGGAGAGAACAAATCACCCCCCAAACCAGGGAAAACATGAAGCCAACCAACTTCTGAAGCAGTTGGTTCCAAAAAACCCAGAAGCCTTGTGCACACCAGACTCCTGCAGTTGGAACCCTGAACGGTTGAGGGTTTAGAAATCCTTCCTAACCTTGTAGGCAAAATGCAGAATGTGTCTACGTTTTAGAAACTAGGAAGGACACCTTCTTCCCACCTTGCATGAAGCCAATACAACCCCACAAGTAGGCCTTCTAAGCGAACGAGCCGCTGGGCAAAAGCTGCCTCTGTAGCATTCCTCCGCCAGCAAGGACGTGGGGCCTCATGGCTTTCTCGACTCTCAAGTATGCGAGCCGGGCAAGGAAGTCTGGCAAGGGTTCGGGTTGAGGGCTTTGGGGCTCAACAGTTTACGCCTTTACACTCGGATGAAGTTCTCGGCCCGAACGCATGCGAGCACTCCGACACTCTGACTACGTGCTGTCCGATATTAAGCTCGTGCCTTCGTCTACTGAGAAGACGAATGAGAAGACCTACCTCAGAACGCAGATCCCGAACGCACATCGGGAGAAAATCGGCGAGAGCTGTAAGAACCCTGCTTTGACACGATTAAGCCCCAAACCCTACCACATCCTTCACCCTAAACCGCTCCAAACCCCTAAACCGCACTAAACCCTAAAAACTTAAACCCCTAAACCCTCAAAACCCCCGAAACCAGCTGAGGCAAGGGCAGTAGTACCCAGCAGGACAAGGCCTCTGGGCCGGCGCGGAGTTCGGTTTCGGTGCTGACACTCCGACATGGGAGTTTCCGAAAATCGGGGACCCTGATATAGTACCCTAAATCGTAGGATCCTTATTTTTAAGGACCCCAAAGACGTACCCCTGATTTTCGGAAAACTACCACGTGTCAGAGCCTTTGGGCTTTAAGGCTTTCGGGTTTAGTCGTGTGAGGTTTGGACTCGCACACTCGCACAGGGGCAAGCACAGGGTTTTAGGGCCTTGGGACAAGGTTTTAGGGCGTTGGGGTTTTAGAGCTTGGCGTTGGGCTTCGCTTTAGGGTCTAGACTCTGCGCGTTTGAGTCCTGGGGCCCTGAACGGGCGTCTGAACGCCTCCGCATCAAACGTGAATGCTCGATCCAATCCGTACACTCCGAACACCAATGCACCGAATGCAAAGCCGCCCCTAATGTACGAGTTAACATCAGCTAACAAAGAGATATATCGGAACACACAAGTGTTCGAAAACGCAGGCCCGTAATTCGACGCACTCTGTAGTTCCATAGGGGCGACCTTCGGAGATACCCATAGCCAACCCGCAGACCACGCTGTGGCCCCGATCCCGAAACACGGAAGCCTCTTTTGAAACCTTCGACATCCTTCGCACTAAACCCTAAACACGAGCAGCCAGCGAGAATACACCGGTGCTTGGAACGGGGCTTTGACTGCGTCAGCCCCGTCTCGTTGCACAGGCTGCCATGCCCGCAGGCCTTTGGAAGCATGGGTTAGTAAGTTCGGGTATACTGGTGGTCAGAGGCTTCAAATAAATGCCACCACCACGACAGTACTACTGCTACTACTGCTCCTCCCGCTGCCGCTGCCGCTGCCGCTGCCGATGCTGCCGCTGCCGCTGCCGCTGCCGCTGCCGCTGCTGCTGCTGCTGCTGCTGCTGCTGCTGCTACGACTACTACTCCTGCTACTGCGGCTGCTGCCACTACCACTACCACCACTACCACTACCACGGCCACGACCACGACCACTACGACGCCGACGACGACTACTTCTTCTACTTCTACTCCTATTCCTACTTCTACTTCTACTACTGCTACTGCTATTGCTACTGCTGCTACTACTGCAACTGCTACTACTACTACTACTACTACTACTACTACTACTACTACTACTACTACTACTACTGCTACTGCTACTACTACTACTACTACTACTACCACCACTGCTGCTACTGCTGCTGCTACTACTACTACTACTGCTACTACTACTACTGCTGCTGCTGCTACTACTACTACGACTACGACTACGACTACGACTACCACTACTACTACGACGCGACGACGACCATAACGACGACGGCTAGTGACTATTCACATGATAACATTGGCATGTTGTGTCAGTCTCAGGGCAAATCATTGCCACTATTCGAGTAGAACAGGTATCCCTATTTCGGTCCAGACCTTGGCGGTGTAACCGGCTGTTGCTTCTACCTCTAGGTAGGGGTGAGTGTTGCAAAGTTTGGGGTTTCAAACCTTTACCTCCCCTCGTTTGGCCTGACTGAGCGTCATACCTGCACACCTCTTGCCGGCTGTACATGCTACATGATGTGAATCAAGGCCCTCGCCCCTTACATCGGCATCTCTTATATGTACCCGGAAAGAAGCAACCCTTAAGCAGTCCCTAAAGTACACTGATTCAGCATAAAAACTCTGGATTTAAAACACCTCCGGCCTTGGGCTGTTCCGCGTTACCCTCACAGAAGTACCCTTGGGGGCAGCTTCGAACCTGAAGGGAGGAGTCCAGGAGTCTATTTGGGAGCTGTATGGTTTCGGGTTTAGGGTTTAGGGGCGTGGCATAAGGTTTCGGAGTTTATCGCAGATGCTCGAGGGCTCGAGAGATTAAGGCCACGGCCGTGAGTGCTAAGTGCGATCCTCGCCTTGGCTTTCGTCGTTCAGCGTTCGCTTGGAAGAGGGCTTGCTACTTAGCCTTTCACGGGCGGAACACGAAGCTGCCCGAATGGCTGGACTACCGGCCGATCGTTCGACCTGGGTCGTCTCCAACACCTTGACCTTCACCAGCGCATACCAGCGTGCCGGCGATGCTGGCTCCGTCATAACTCCGACTCAGTGCTCGACACAATCCAATCAGACAGACAGGATTTTCACCACAGGTGCAAGCCTGTCCATATGTTTCCCTAAACCCGAACCCCTAAACCATTGTCGCACCTTTCATACTTCTGCGACTTACACGGACACGCTCCGGAGCTGGCCCTTTCCCTTAAGGCTTACTGGAAGATTTCAACATGAGGCTTACCAGAAGACTTACTTTGAGGGCTTCTACTTCTGGTGTGTACTGTACTAGGCCAGACACTGTGAAGCCTAACTACGAATCCCGACTTCGTGTGGCAGACCCTATGGACAGGCCCTGTCCGTCTTCACATTTACAATGGCCCTTGGATTTTCGTCATAATGACTCTTTCTATCCTCATGTTCGAATGACTCCTGTTGATGCTACACTGATGTACTGGTCCACATGGGCTGTATTCTATTCCAAAGCCCTATCCTCACCATAAGTGTGGACTCTCACAACTTGGCCATGCCATGCAGGGACTCGCACCTCTCCATCTGGGTGGCACACAAGTCATAGCACACATGCGCACACAAGCCAGATCACAAAACCCTAAAGTGCCGGGGTTCACAGTCATTCTGAGGGCCTGAGGCCCGAAAAGCTCAAACCCCTCCACTCAAAACCCACCACATCCTTCGTGCCCATAGATCCCCAGACTTCGCACACTGCCGGACCTGGAAGCACGTTTCGAAGTAGGCGATCTTCTTGGGGAGAGTCCCCGGGCGCGCTTGGTATCCTGGGCTAAGTATTAGGAATTGGGGTTTAGGGTTTAGGATGTAGGGCTCCCAGATTCCTGACATGGGGATCCCTGGTTAAGAAACCTGACAGAGGTTTAGGGAGAGATCCTTCATCAAGGTGCTTTGGAAGCTCTTGGTTCCTCTCGGAAGGATACTTCTTCGGGAGGCATACCCCAAGGCTGTAGCACAACAGCTCTAACGCATGGGCCTGAACAATTGGAACAGGGTTTGGGGGTATATTATGCTACAACTATACTAGGTGGGGCTTTTAGAGCCTTTGAAAAATATTAGTAAATAAGATCCTCTTAAGCCCAATAAGGGAAAATCTAGAATGTCCCAAAGCCCTACCTAGTATAACAAGGAACCCCCGGAACTCGGAACCCACACTCTGATTCTTAAGGCCCCCTGCATTACCCACCGATGAATCGTCCCATGTTCTGGGCCGATTTGTTGGGCAGCTGCGAGGAACACTCGCAGCGTAACGGGCGCTTTCCAGGGTTTGTGAAGGGACTTGTTTCTTCTGTTTGAACGATTTAGGGTTTAGGGTTTAGGGCCCTCGTGTCTTGTAGCCAAAGGCATCCAGGGACGGTGGAAAGTTTAGATAGACTATTTTTCATGGCCAGAACATGCTTCGTGTGTGTTTTGTCTGGGTGCTTGGCAGCACGAGGGCCTCAAGACTCCCGACAGGCCATGAGCACCGGAAGTGGGCAGGAGCCAGCAGTAGTTGGAAGGGCCTCTCGCCCACAACTCCGTGTGAGTGGCGGCTACAGTCTCAAGGGGAAGGTGGACCATGCTTATAAACCCTTTTTGCACGGACTTGTATATGCCCGCCTGGATGTGCTTATAAACCCTAAACCCTGCATCGGTGCTCGTCAAGGAGAATCCAAAAAGAATCTCTAGCCCCCAGCCTTGAACCCTGAACCCTCGCTGCCACGTGTCGGTATTGGCCGCGGCGAGGCTGCCACTGTGGGAGAGGCCAAATGGGAAACCATCCCCCAGGGCAGCCAGATGTGACAGTTGGCGCCAGGTTCACGAAGAATTCCACATCCTCCAGAAATCAACACGCAGGGTTTAGGGTTTAAGAGTTTAGGGGTTTAGGGTTTAGAAGGAGGTTCATCAATGCCAATCTCCACATGCAAGGGTCTCGGTTCACGGAGATCAAGATTCAGAGGTTTGTGGATGGCCGCATCCGTCGCCAGGGATTCCCTCTTATGGATCATGCGCGAGTTTGCCCATCAAGAACCCAAAGGGTCCAAAGTACCTATATAGTAGAATGTAGGGTTTCTATATTAGGAATTACTATTATGATTTGGGGAAGTATCCCCGATAACAGTACCTAGGACCCTTTGGGGAAGTAAGTATCCTCCATCACGCTCAGGGCAATTGGCTTCGGAGAGCTTTCTTTCCTCGGTGGGCGCATGTTGGACGCGGCCATGATATCGCTTGAGTCATGGCTAACGTAACACTGTGTGAAGACATCACGGAATTTCCGTCGGTCTACATCTGCGCTGCAGAAGGAAGCGACATGCTGCTTACTTGTATACAGTACTATAATACTTATAGCACTGTAATGCTATAATAAGTTGCCAAGAGACAAGAAGAAGGGCGCCACAAGGGACTCATCCGAATTCAAGAGGCAGCTGGGCTTTGCGGCCGCCGACTCGTCATCTTTGGACGGCCGGTCACCTCGCAAAGCGCAGACTTGCACATGTAAATGTAGCAGTGTAGCACCTCCCTTCTCTAGCCCTTCAAACGACCTTTACAGCAGTAGCCAACCATAACCGTTTCAGCACGGACTGAGGTGCCTTTTGCATCGGGTCTGCAGCGACTCAAACCCCAAAGCCTCAACAGTCAGCCCTATACAGCTGAGCTCTGGGCAGACACATGTTGTTTTCTCCCCGCTGGAGCTGGGGAATTCAGCCCCAGAGCTACAGGTGGAAGCCCCGAGGCTCTTGGGAAGAAGGGCCAGCAGTAGCCACAGCAAGGAGCTCATAACCTCAGCTTTGGAACTCTCAAAACTCTCTGGGCCTAACATCCTAAAACAAGAGGGGGTCGAAGAGAAGGATTGAAACCGGAAAGGTTGAAACGGTCAAGAACATTTTCATCCGGAGCAAGTAAACAAAGCTGCTATGCCAAGCTGCTGTGGTGACCGTCAGCACATGCCCATGGAACAAAGGCGATTGCTGCCCGTGGAAGTATCTACGGACTCTGAGCTCTACGAGGCTGTAAGGACTGAGCTTTTGGGGACAATTCTCCATAATCTTGCCTAACACCGTGGAAAAGGTATGGTATTCAAGAGACGACCAAAGCAATGATCACGGTATATCACGGTCATGGTGGCGAAAAGGAAACAATATGAGGTTCTATCACGGAACTGCGCAGCCATGAGCCCAAGCACCGGCACTTCCGAATCCGCGAAGCGCCGAGCTTAAACCTTGCAGTATGTTTCCAGCTTTGGATCACGGGTTGTTGCGAAGCTACCCTTTTTTTCTTTTTTTCTTGGGAAGTCGGCCGGGAAACTCAGATTTCTCCCAAGTGTTTCATGAGAGTCAAGGGCTTGACAAACTAAAACCTAAACTCTAAAAAGGTTGTTGCGAAGTTACCCTTTTGACGCTGGGCGAAGCTACCCTAAAACCTAAACCCCTAAACCCTAAACCCTGAACCCTAAACCGTGTGGGTTTGCACGATTTTTCTGTCCTGCTCCTCGCGTCGCAGCTCCCAGTCTCAGCTTCCGGCCAACCGCCTTGCGGTTCAGCTCGGCCTTTCACCGAAGTCCTTTTTCGGTTTTAGGGTTTAGGGTTCTTGTCCATAATACGGAAACCTTACATATTCACTATAGATCCCTACTATGGCAACTTAAATTCTTAGATGAAACCCTTTTACAGAAATCCCTTTTTTGGAACCCGGACTCTGCTCATCAGCTGGGAAGCAGCAGTGCCAAGATTTGAAGCCCTAAACCCTTAACGCGTTTACGGCAGTTTGTTTATGACCGGTTTTAGGCAGTTCCATATGCTCGATGTTGTGGAATCCCTACCATGGCTCAGGGAATTTCAGCGAATAGCTACGTTGGACACTATATACCCTAAACCCTTTTTTTGCCACTGGGCTTGGGGCTAGCCAGATCCTTGCATCGTCCGCAGAGTCGGGTGAACACGAAAGGCCACGATGCAAGGATATACCCTAAACCCCAAATAACCTACCTTTTCAGGGACTTATATAAAGAAATCATATTACGGGGCCCTAAAAAGGTGGGTTCCTAAGGGTCCAGGAAAAACCCTATGAACCCTAAACCGGGACTGAAGCCCTGGGTGTCAGAGCCGGCGCCGTGCCGCAAAGCGGAAGTCAAAGGGAGGGTCCTCTAGACCAGAGGCCCCAAAGTAGTTCCTTGTTGGTGCTCATATATAGAATCCTATAAAGGTAATCCCCAAAAGGAACTACTTTGGGGCCACTGCGTAGACCAGAGAGAAGCCTTGGAAAGATATTATCACCCACTCTTGCAACCAGACTCTGCTCATATTATCAACCATCGACCTCAAACCCTACACCAGTAGAAAAAATCTGAAGAGCATGAACTGAGAGATCGTGTCAGCTGCAGGGTAAAGCTTGCAACGCTCCACTTCGTCCAGGCTTCTCTTCACTAGCTTTTGTCGGAAAGATATCTCTCGCCCCAGAAGGGACAGAAACTACCTTACCGAATACTACATCTAGCAGCCTCGCATCAACGAGTAAACTCGCTCGCCCTTGCATGAGTGAGACACGGGCACTGCGACAGATGCGGGGCATCCGGCGTCAAATTCGAAGGGCAGCGCTGTCCTAAAGACTTCCGAGCTGGGAGCTGCCTCTGCCACGGATGCTCGTAAATCCCAACCCTGAACCCTACCTTAACCCTGGATAACCTACCCTTTTTAGGGTTCCTCATTATGATTTCCTCATATAAGTCCTTAAAAGGCCAGGTTATTCAGGGTTATGGTAAACCTTACAGGTACACCCCCAACCCTGGCCCTAAAACCTTTTTCAGCATGGCCCTGGCTTGTGTGCCAGCGAGCACGCCTCAACAGCAGGGCCTCCTCGTTCCTACACTCCAAACCTTAGCTCGAAACATCTCGAAACCCTTTGAAACCCACTGTAAAACCCTAAGGGTCCATGTACCTAAATCGTATATACATTGGCCTTAAAGTACTCCCTATATGGGTACATCAGGCTCAAGTATATACTATTTGGGCACATGGACCCTTATGGAAACATAACCATCGCGACCCCTTGTAAAGATCTTTCAAGACCCTTAAAGGAACCATCTACACCCCCCACACACGGATCCGGCAGACATCTCGCCAATCAAGGCGCAAGGCGCAAGGAAGGCACTAGCTTCTGGAAGGCATCTTTCGCACCTCGCACTACCCAGAGGCCCCATAGTAGTTCCTTTTCGGGATTACCTTATAGGGTTCCATATATGAACCCCAAAAAGGAACTACTTTGGGGCCTCTGGGTAGGGTGGGCTCAGGTTAATTATAGGGTTTCTGGCTTCAGGGCTGCAGGGGATTAGCATCTTTTTTTTTTTTGGATCTGGCTTTGTTAGGTCTCTCGGGTGTGTTACAAGGGCGTGTAGGACATGAATACAGGCTTGCCGCTCGGAGGCTCTATGGCTCATCACGGTACATTGTCACATGGTGTTTGACTCTGGGCTTCGCGTAGGGTCGTCATCAAGGTCATGCGATCGACTTTTAGGGTTCAGGGTTTGAGGATGAGGGTTTAGGGTTTAGGGTAGCTTTCGGCTCAACCCTTACACCTGGCATAAACTTAGGTGGTCAGGGGAAATAGGGGACTTCATACCTAGAAAGGTCAACTTGTAACCCTTGTAACCCCTAATGAAATACCCATCTCCCCCATTTTTGAGCTGGTTCCTCGAAGTTAACTTCAAGTGCTCCAAACCCTATACCACCGCTTCGCAGCAACAAAAACTGCACTTCTGAACCCTAAACCCTAAACCGCACGAGCTGGGACCGGCACGCGGATGGCGGCTCTTGTCTGGATGGACCAACAGCGCGAGCTGCTTCAAACCCATCTGCTGACCTACCCAGAGGCCCCAAAGTAGTTCCTTTTGGGATTACCCAGGGGCCCCAGGGGTCCTTTAAAGGGTACTATAAGGGGTTTAGGGCTTAAGAAACTACTAAGAAGCCCCAAAGTAGTTCCTTTTTGGGATTACCTTATAGGATTCTATATATGAACCCCAAAAAGGAACTACTTTGGGGCCTCTGGGTAGACGCATCTTTCCAGGGGGTTTGCGCATGCCCTGAACCAGCGGTACTTTGATGGGAGGCCACAAGGTGGGGGGTTTCAGGTTCTTGGGGTCGGGATTCCTTAACATGAACCCAATTATGGGAACCCTAATCGGTACTAAACCCCCATAGGCTAAAACCCCGTTTGGCCTCCTATGATGCTTGGTGAAGCCGGGGCCTTGGAAATCATAGAGCATGGCACGCAGCCCCGCCGGTGTCTTCGGAATCCTGACCTGTGCTCCAGAGTGCTCCAGAGCTTGAGACATGATAGGGCTTAGAGCTTAGGGTTTAGCGGTTTAGGCTTGCTCCGCTCGTCTTTAATCCGTCACCCGGCTCCCCGTATGCATAAGAACAGCAGCATCAGCAAAGAACAATCCATGCTAAGGCCCCTCCCTGTGAGGTCATCCAGAGCATGACAATCCTCACCGCCGTCTAACCGAGGACTCCGATCACCTGATGACGAAGACCCCTGTAAGCCTAAACTCCGAAAGCAAAGCTGCAACTTGGGGTTGGGTGGGGGCCTTTCTGCCCGGGGATAACTAGGTGAACTTCAGGTTTCAGGGTTGTTGGCTCTATGACTTGAGCTTCTCAAGGTGGGCCAAGGTTCAATGTGCTTCTTGGTGGTGCTTTGGCGCTTACGCTTGGGTTGCCTTTGTTCGATCAGGTTTTACGGTCTCTGGGGGGGCCCTAGACTCTAAAACCCTACGAATTTTGCGCCTTGGACGCGCGAAACACGAAACTCTCAATTTTGAAGTTTGGAAGCTCTGCTCGGATATGGTGGGGCACTCAGGGCTTAGGGCTTCAGGGGTCGGGGCTTCGGGCTTACGGGTTGTAGGTTTTAGTGTTTCTGCTCGCGTGAAATGGTCGGGGTTCCAGGAGGCTCATGGGTCGAGGTGGCCATACCCTAAAGGTCCAAGTATCGACCCAGAGGCCCCATATTGGGAACCTGAAAGGATTCTATATATGAGCCCCAAAAAGGAACTATTTTTGAGGCCTCTGGGTGATTATCATATACTCTCCAAAATGGCAAGCTACATAACTACTATCCTAAAACCGAGTGCCTGTAATTATTGGGTCCTTTGGACCCTCAGGAATACATGAGAGCTTCGGAACTCCAGTGGCCCCCAACATGAATCCCAAAGACTAGGATCCCCAAAACAAGCTAGTACGGCAAGCAACAGTATTGAACATGCATGCTACAGCAAGCTTGCGGCAGGCTATAATCCCTTCAACACTCGCCACTCTAGCCAGAGGCCCCAAAGTGGTTTCCTTTTGCAGGTTCATATATAGAATCCTATAAGGTAATCCCGAAAAGGAACTACTATGGGGCCTCTGGGTAGCTAGTACGGCACCGTGAGACTTGGAGTTTGCCGCAGTTTTGTTGCCCCGCTGACTTTGACATTCATGCTACTTACGCCGCCTGCCTATTTTGATCGCAGGCACTACTTGTATTGTAGACCCAAAGACTAAAAAATAATAGAATATGACCCCGTAATGCAGGGTGCAACCCCTGAGAACTCGATGAGCCCTGTCAACCTGCAAAATGGCGGGTCGTGAACCCATAACTCGTGAAGAAAAGCTACACTGTGAGGTTCTGGATCCATGCGTAAACCCAAAATGCCCTGCAAAGCGCTAATTTCGGGACCCAAGCTCCAGCCGTGATGATATTCTGGATTGATGAGCACTGCAAAACTATGTGGAAGGACTGACGTGTCGCAGTTTCGAACACTTGTGCCAACGGGCGTCCTTCGTCTCGCGCGGTTTTACACCTGAAGGGGGCATGTCCTACTCGCTCTAGCTGTGCGATCGATTATTCTTCACGGAGCCGCTCATGAATTCTGTCTGAGATACATCATCAACACACCTCTGCTCCGAATATTCCCATGGCTGCCATGTCAACAGCATGCCCGACTGAATGTCATCACGTTCACTGCTGCACGATGCGCTGGCTGCTGCAGCAGGTAAGAAAGGAACACGGTCATGCTGGTGTCGGCATGAACCCGATCAGGTGGAAAGGTTGCCCTGAAATCAGGTTGATGAGTGCCACCAATGCCACTGCTTTAAGTTGAGAACTTGGTGAATTTGCGGTTGAAGTTGCAGGACTCTACTTAAACCAGCTTGGCTTCGCCATGCTACTTGCCAAAGGTGTTATGGAACCGGGGTTTCTCACAGCTACTGTATCGAATTCCACCACGTAAACGTCTGACGTCTGCTTGGCAGATCCGATATTATACTATTGGTGTATTTTATACATTAGCATACTACTATACCATAGTCGATGATATGACTCTCTCTCTCTCTATATATATGTGTATATGTGTATACTCTGTGTTTTTTGCATATAGATACACATCGTACTATCTGATAGCCGGAAGCGGCCTTCGGGGGATTGCGTCATGGCCGAGAGAACGGGGCCCGCCAGGGAGCCCAGGCACAGCGACAGATGCACTGCTAGCGCCTGTGACTGGGAGGATTAAGGCGACATTTTTTTTTTTTTTTGGGGGGGGGGGGGTGGGTTAGGGTTTAGGGCGTTTTTGTGGTTGGGGGTTTAGGGTTTAGGGTTTGGGGGTTTTTGGTCTAGGGTTCAGGATTCGTGTTTCGAAGCTCGCACGCGGACAATCCAGGCGAGGTTATTGATTTCGTGCTTTATACCCTTTTGAAGTATGGTATGGGGAGTGGAGGATTGATTTCGTGTTTGGGGCTTCAGCTTTATACCCTTTTGAAGTACGGTATGGGGAGTGGAGGCTTCGATATTAGACTTCGGGATCTCGACTTCAAGGGTTCGGGCTGACTTCTGCGGTCACTCAGGTGCAGGTGCGTATGATTCATATGATGCACACTTCATGGTATACGTGCATATGTAGTAACCTTGCTTACACACATGCGTAGGCACATGTAGTAAACATATATATATATACGCATATATTAACACTGTATGCATGTATGTACGTAGAGAGGTATAGGTACGCATTGCAGAAATTTACTTCGTCATATATTTCTGTACACACAAACAAATCCAGAGAGAGAGAGGGAGAGAGAGAGGAACTCCAAAAGGACGAGAGGCCATTATGCCACAGCAAGCTGCCAAGTAATGGTCCACCAATTTGCACCAGGTGACCGATTCCCAAAAAGCTCAACTTCATAGGCCAGAAGCATCAGGCCCTTCTCTTCCAAACCCAATGTCATGCTTCTGCAAAGCTGGAGTGAGAAGAATCATGAAGCGCGTCATCTTTTTACATAATACCCAGAGGCCCCAAAGTAGTTCCTTTTTGGTGTTCATATATGGAACCCTATAAGGTAATCCCAAAAAGGAACTACTATGGGGCCTTTGGGCTAGCTGGGCCCTAAGCGAAACGCGGCAGAGCCTTCTCGAGAGAGCCGCAGACTCCTGCAAGGCAAGCCCGGCCCTGACACACTTCCAAAGAAGGGTCCTAGGTACTGTTATGGGGGATACTTCCCCAAATCATAATAGTAATTCCTAAAATTGGCGCCCTACATTCTACTATATAGGTACTTTGGACCCTTTGGGACTCGTGCCCATGTCCCAAACCGCAGGAATGTCTCAAGAATGCAGGTACAGCGCTCCTTCCGGCCATGCCGTAAAGCATGATATGACTTGATTCAAGAAAGATCGAGGCATGCGAGCTGTCGTAGCCATACTATGCCTTGTGCAAGGTCTTCTTGCGCTGTTTTCGCAGCTTCCAGGACCTCGGTGAGTGCAAAAAGGACGCAGAGCGCTGATATCCCTGTAGACACAAGCCCTGATCAGCTATTTCTCGAGCGTTCTGTCCTCGGACCATCGAAGGTATCCACCCCCCCTAGTCTCGACTGCGGACTCTGCGTTGAGTCGCTTCAAAGGGGCTCGATATCGTGGGAAATGAAGCAGGGAACGAATCTGCATAGAAACTGTGGGCAACCAACCTGTCAGTGATTTTTGGGAACGGATTCGACATCCCGTAGGACTGGAGGTTTCCTCTCTGACGCTCGTTGAAAGAAGCTATGGCTTCTAGTTAGGCAAAATCCGAAACTCGAAGGGCTCCTTATTTAGGGTTCGACTCTACTAACCAAGAAGGCCCGTAGAATTATTATGGAAGTAGGTCCCCAACACCATAGTAAGTATTGTCTTTCCGGGCCTAAGTCCGTAATGGTAGTATATATGGACCCTCTAGGTAACCGTTCCAAGCCAGGCTACCGCCTCGAGCTGGTGCTGTGTAAGGCGGACTCCAGGCGGTGGTGCAGGCTTGGTCACCTCCTTAAGGACGAAAAGAACCCTAAAAGGGTTAAGGGTTCCTATACCTTATTATTAGGGATTCATAGTATATTAGTATAGGGCACCTACTTTTACGGGTCATTTGGTCCTTAAGGATCCTGCTGCAAAAGAAATTTCGAAGGGTTTACAACATGCCTCACGAGGTCTCGGTCTTCGAAAGTACTTTGACTGCTCTGCGCTTGGAGCTGATGATCAGTTCGCCACGACGGGAGCAGTGAACACTACGAAAAAGCTGCATAATTCAGTAAACTCAGACTGATCATCAGCTGTTTACTGGGTTACCACTACCTGGAGGTTGTGAGCTCTTCTGTGACCATAACAAATACAAAATTCATAAGACCAAGAATAAGACTTCACAACCACAATTGTGACAGTTCTTCACTAAGACCCAATCAAACTCGGACTAGTGACAAGCCATCGAATGGTTTTTTGTTTAGGCTTCGGCGCTCACACTCGGACAAGGGGTTCAGGGGTGTAGGGCCATTAAGATCACCGGGTATCAAATGGCATATAATGTTACACAGTATTTTGTTGGACAATACAATATTATATCGCAATGTGTTGTGCTGTAGAGAAGGCTCATTGTTACAGTAACGGAATTCAAACCAACTTTATGTGCCTAACCGCGACTGAATCAGATCACGACAACCATGCTAGCAAGCCTAACACGAACTTCCAACTCTCAGGCGATAGCAATACCACGCTCCATGGTAATACGCTTAAAATGCACATAACGGTCCCTGCCGCTCCTGGGGCTCAGCTCAAAAGTATGTACTACTACCCGTAATGACGTAATGGTAAATACGCTATCAAGGCTAATAAATTCCCATGTCGTTCCTCAGAGACTCCAATATCCCTCAATTAAGGAATGTACCTTAAGTCATATAAGGGATCCTACTATAATTTAAGGCATATTCCTTAATTAAGGGATATTGGAGTCTCTGGGTCCTCGGGCTCATCTCAAAAGTATGTACTACTACCCCTCTACTACCCTTAATGGCAAATACGCCATCAATGCGAATAAACTCCCATGTCGTTCCTACTACCCTTACTAGTAAATACGCTATCAAGGCTAACATACTCCCATGTCGTTCCTAGTTCATGGTTGGGATAGGATTAAAAATATGGGTTTAAGTAGCCATAAAAATGTAAAATGGTACCCAACTATGACAAAGGTTCCTCAAATCATATAAGGGATCCTACTATAATTTAAGGTATATTCCCTGAAGTCCTCAGGCTCATGGTATATAATTAAGGGATATTGGAGTCTTGTCGTTCCTCGGGCTCATCTCGCTGGCGCTTCTGCCGCCGCTGGCGCTTCGAGCTCAGGCGCTCCCAGCGCTGTCGAAGCTCTCGCCTTGATTCTCTGGTCGTGCGATTTTAAGGTTCTATAAAGGGTTAGGGTTTAGGGTTTAGGGTCTAAGGGTTCTATAAAGGGATCTATAAAGGGTTCAAAAAAGGGTTCTAACAAGGGATCTGAACATAGGAGGCTCCTTATTAGAAGAACCCCAAAATTAAGGTACCCCTAGATTTCGGAAACTTCTGTGTTGCTTCTGTGGAACATGTTTTGATGCGGTTTTCAAGGTGCTCTAAGAAATCCGGTTTTCACATTTTTAGATAGAACCTTAGTATTGAAATTTCATGGTTTCTATTTTCGAGGTTTGCTGCAAGGGTTTTACCTCGTCTTTAGGGTCGGTACAAGGTCTTCATGACGGTTTCAAATCTTGTGCCGGCGGCTTGCGGGGTTTGTAGTTTTAAGGGTGTTTTGGTGCCGATGCGTCACCTTTGCATGCAGAACCTACTTCTTTTGCACGCCTCGTCATGTACACCGCAAAAGAGCCGGATGGATGGATGCACGTACGTCTGTGTGCATTATGTATGTATATATAGAGCAACTTTCTAGTAGATTATGGGTTTAGGATATGGGTTTAGGATAGGGACCAGTAAAGAAGTCCTCTTATGGTTTGGGGATTGGGCCTTGTAGGATAGAGCTCCTTATAGCGATAAGCGTCTACGACCAAGAGTTCACGGTTTGTACTTGGTCGCTGGAATATGTCGGGCTTGGTCAGGATTTCGCTGGGGCTCCAAATCGACGAACACACGAACTATTTGTAGATTTCCGGGCCCCAAAGTAGGCACTTTTCGTGTATTTGAACCCTTCGGAGGTAACAGGCAAGGCTACCTCAGAGATATCTGCAGTATCCAAGACTCCAAGCATTGATGAAGCTCATGTCGTCCTGGAGGGTAGAGCTGAACATGCTCAGTGCAGCCTTCTTCCTACAAAAAGTGCCGTTTGAAGGTATCCTCGCGGCCTGTAAGCCTCTAGTCCCAAGTGCGGGCTACACACGAGCACCCTAGGCTCAGGCGCTCACCATCCGAGCACCAAAAAGGTTGAAACGAAGTCGTGAGCTCGAAATCCAGAAAGACCGAATCTATATCATTGAAGATTTTCTATGGTGTTATGAACGTGTATTCCGTTTTAGAAGGTATACAGCACATACCTCGAAATTGACGGAAGGCTGGGACCGCTGCTCCTGAACGAAGAAGTCTTTGCTGAGATCTTGTACCCACTTCTTCACCGTGCACTTCGGGACGCCTTCTCCTGCTAACCCGATAAGCTTCAACACATGACAACATAAACCCTACAAGTACCTCCTCGCTTTCAAGGGTTCTACATCACGGTAGATCGGGCTTCTATATATTCTAAGGCCACAAGAGCGATTTGGTGCTTTAAATTTGAGCCCCTGTGCGCTTCCCGTTTGGGCGTAGTCCGAAGCAGAGTGCAAACTGACAACTAGCTGTAAGCCCTTTTTGAAAACCCAGGCTCTATGCCATCATCAGCTGGGAATCGGCAGCTAAGCTGCGAGCCCTAAACCCTAAACCCTAAAGCCGAAACCTTAAGTTAAAGCCTTCGCCTTCGCCCGAAACCCCTAAGGCCTGTACTCTGAAGGGAGACATTTGCAGCCTTACAGCACCCCTGTCCCTAAACCCTGAAACAAGAATCCGAAAGCCTCGAACTCTGAACCTTAAGTCTAAATCCCCAAACCTTGACAAAAAGGTCTGCGCTACAGAGCCGATGTTTGGAGTTGTGGGGGTAACGTAAAACCAGCTTTCCATGAGTTTGTACCATTTGCTGTGCTTGCATCCTCGCTGGAGATCTGAGCCTTAAACCATGAACCCGTGGGCTTCGAGATACAACCTAAACCCTGAACCCTAAACCCTAAAACCCTAAAGCCCTCAACCCAAAAACCCTATACCCTAAAACTCTAAACTTTTAAACCCTGAGCCCTAAACCGTTCCTATGACCCCTTTTTGGAGACTCCTCTCGGTGAGTCTTGTCTGCCAATTGAGGGTCTAAGCCTTAGGGTAACCCCCTTTTGGGCCACTGGACTCAAGTAGTCTTAAGGTAGCCCTGAACCCCAAACCTGACACCCAAAATCTAAACAAGCAAAGTCTGACAGTTGCTCTTACTAACACTCGGAAATCCGTTGACACCACGGCCGCCAGCCACCGGCGCAACAGCAACAACAAAATCTTAACCCCCACACCTTATAAACCCCGAACCCCAAAATCGTACAAACCGCCACAAAACCTTAAGCCCCACGCCTTAAACCCCGATCCCCTAAAACAAAAAAACAAGAACCTTACCACCACCAGAAAACCTTAAGCCCTCCGCCTTACAGAAATAAAGCGATCCCCTAAAGCAAAAAAGGAAAACGCTTGAGCCAGGGAGCTTAAAGCTTCGATCACGCAGCTGCGGACGGTGTAATCTTTCACCAGCGCTCCCTCACTGCCTTCTTGCTGGGGTAGGCCACCTTCGTCGTTTAAGGTTTAGGGGTATCTCAAGGAGTTTCGGGTTCAGGTTAGAGGGTTTAGGGTTAAGGTTTAGGGTATTTCAAGCCTTTTGGGCTTTGGGAATGGGGCTCTCTAGGGGTTCAAAAGGCTGAACTTGCGGTGCGTGTTTGAAGGATTTACGATTAGGGCTTTCGTGCGAAGATTTTGGTCTAGAGGTTTGGGTCTATGATCAATGTCTGAGCAGCCCTGCAGCGACAGTCAATATCAATAGCACTGATCTAGTGCTCCCAAAGGCACGTTAATGCCCACTCCGCCCCCGTCCCCTCTCCGTGAACCATCACAGCTCACATTGCGAGTGAGGGGCGGGCGAAGGCTAGGCACGTGGCGGGGAGACCATTTGGATGATGGGGGGGCAAAGGGACTCAGTTTGGGGGCCTTTTTTTCGGAATAAGGTTTTGGGGCCCATGATTCCATGATTGCATAATTATAATATAAGGAACCCCCCCAAAATAGTGTAGGTACTTATTAAGAGTTCTAGAATACTCTTATGCCCCTTTCCCGTACATAGAAGCCCGGAAAGCATCGCAATTATCCTGTGCCTTGCTGCTCCGTTTTCGGCGATGAGGCGCTGCTCGCCATGGCTCTTGAAAGGCCCTAAAGGGTTCCTGAGGGTTATACAATATTTAGCGGGCACTAGGTTCAGCTAGGGGAATTGATAAGGTTTCCGGGGCATGTTACGGTATAAGTACACATTGAGACTGTAGCAGATTGCCTGTCTTTTGGGTTTGCTTTCCGGAAAGCCTATGTATGCCCGATGATAGCACCCATAACCCAAATCCAACTATGTATGCAACTGGTTCTTGGGGCAAGGTGTTTTTGCATGCCGAGTTTCGGATTCAAGCTCAGCAGACATATACTATACCAGTTGAAAACATGCAAGCGCTTCCTGCTTGCGCTTGTTGGATTGCTGTTGAAACCTGCACTCTTGAATACTCATGGTAAACACTTTACCCTCGTGGCTACAGAGAGATCCACTCAACATCATGCAACATAGCCTCGATCATGGGGCAGTGGACTCGGGCCTATTTTCGCTGCGATGTGGCGGCATATTCTTCCGCTGCTGATATGCTGATTGCCATAAACAGCAAGAACCCAAGAAACAAGGCTGTTTTGATGCTTAGCAACCCATATCCTTATGTGCCCTTCGACTGGTAAGCCAAGCTCCTGCACATCTACCCCCAATGCCAGCTGGGTTCGCCGTTAGATCCAAAGCAAATCAACAACCTGATCTCCATGCCTTAGGCGTTGTGTGCAGGATCAGCTTCTGTCAATCAGCATCTTTCGTATCTTTAGCAAACCATATCAAACCTATCACACACCCCTTTGTGCTGCCAGGGAAGCCATTGAAATTCTCCTGAAACAATTGAATCCGCACACGGACGGGGTATGTGGTTTTGCACATTTGCATCTGGCGAGCAAGCTTTCCTTTGTAAAGACAGGTCCATACGTTCGCTGCTCATAAACGCGGGTGCTTGGAAAGAACACATCGCAACTTGCTCGCGCTCCTAGCCATCACCGCTCTCCGTCACCCTGCCACGCAAGCAGCCGAAGCGCGTTGAGCACCTCCACAGGGATAGGCCCAAGCTGCTGCAGGCCGAAGGCCACGAGAGATTCCGGAAATGGCATGCTAATATCTTCGAATTCACGGGTGTTTTACCCTGAGGTGCAGACCCGGCTGTCCCAGAACTGAATAGAAATACAAGCTTCCAGGGGGAATTTCGCTGAAAGATCGTGTGGGTCGTATCCCCGCAAGCTCTAAACCGATTCAGCAAGTGATATACTGCAACCAACGTAATTAGAACCACAGCCACTGCACTGAAGTAATATAGGGGCCTGAACATTTAGCATGGAGTTGTTGGTAGAACAATAGCCATTCCAAACTCTAAACTACCGGCGTTGCTAACCGGCTTCGCTGAACAACCAAGAACATCCCGGACGAAAGGGAAAGCGCCCCGACTTGGCAAAGCAAACGCCGCGAAACGCACGGAGGGCCGCCTCTGCATCGTTGCCAACAAAGCCGAAACTCTTTTAGTGTAGTCCTTGATATTTGTATTTTGAAGACTCGACAATCCACTTTGGGGTCTACGATGTTGTCAGATGCTCTGCTTCGCTTCTGTTCCACCATTCAGCTGCTAGTCTACATCTTCTCTAGCATCACAAAGACAAAACTCGTATCAACCAAGGTGAACATTGGAAGTGCGCTGCTCGAAAACAACTCTTGGCAATCTGGGTGCGTGGTTGAGTCCACAGGATTTACCCGATCGCTTCTGCATTTAAAATTTTGCATGATTTTTTGATTTGCATGGTTGAGTAAGCCTTGGGTTTGGGGTTGGCTAGTGGCTACATATAGCTATCTTGTGTTCGGAGACGTTGCGAGGTTCTTTTGACGGTGCAGGCCCTCGCGCCCATCCCGGAGCAGGTCAAACTTGAGTTTCACAGGGTTTCCCCAACCCGCTGGTGGGATGAAAGAGTGACGCGCGTTTCGCAGCATACCTGCTGGCCCTGGAGTAGGTCACCTTCGTGGGTTCACAGGGTCTCCCCGACCATCTTCACAGGGAAAGAAGCTACGCGCTATGCTGTACAACAGGTGTCGTCCTCGCCACAGCGATGAACGTCACTTCGAGCAAAGCACTCGAGAAACGTGCTAAAACATGCCGGACAGAAAGCATGCATCAAGAAGGCTAGCTACAGGTACGGCTTCCTGATAAGTTTGTTTTCTACGTCCCGCTCAGGCCCGACGACCTACAATCAACTCTCAAAGAAAACCGCTGAAGCCCAACAATAACGGTAGTTAACCCCCATAAACACCAGATAGGAACGAACACCGTTGACAATAACTAAAATGCAATGGTATACATTATGACGCAAAACTCTTAAACGAGCAAGTCCGATGACTTCAAAACCGGAAAAAACAGAACAAAGCCCATTTGCCTTGCCATGCACTTCAGGCCTTCGGGGCAATTTCCAGGTTTTACTTATTAGAAAGGATAAATGCTTTTTGATACATTATAGTCTACTTCCAGCAGGAACCTGAGGGAATGGTATTGGTATCTTCGGGCACAGGGTAAAGAGCCAGGGGACTCTCACACTCGGACTCCCGGATTTCGGGTTTGGGGTTGGGGGGTCTATGATTCTTGGATAGTCTTGGTTTTGGGCTCTGGCTGTGGGAAGCTTGCCGGTACAGCAGCTTGGTCCTGGGTTGAATCTGGATTGTTGGCGAAAAAAGGGGGGGACTTGCAGGTGAGCTACACTACCGCTGTAAGTGATTGTAGAGATGATGAGGATGCAGATGATCCATTACCAGTCATTACCATCTCTCGGCTGTTCTCGAAAGTCTTCTAACTGCGAGTAAACCTATAATGGCATCAGATCTGGAACTACATCTTCTACGGCTTATTCGCATTGCTCTCTCAAATGCCTTCCTGTCCGAATGCCAGTCAAGCTCACATCTTCTCACAGCCGTCGGGCCCTCAGGCGGCCCTCAGCGGGCAAATTAAGCCCTTTGGGCAGCATTCGCGAGTTTACACAGTTCTAGGTTTCCATGGACGGATTCTGATATTGTCCTCCTTCTGCCAGCAGCAAAACACTTTGTAAGCTTTACACTGCCTCAAACGATTTGTGTCATCTTTTTTGCCCGCCCGAAATCACTCATGTCCTTTGCGAGCGCACAAGCCCTGAAACCTCTCTAAGTGTACGGTTGGACTGGCCCGTAGTACCCCAAACTCAGAAGCCGAAACATTGACAATGAAACACCAAGCCCTATACAGTCTAAACCATATGAACTAAATCATGTTCAATTACCTGGCACGAAACCCTACAACGCCCAGGTGTAGAGCAAGTTGGGGAGGGATTTTCATGCGAAGCTCGAAGCGGCAAACGAGCAGAACAAGACAGGATTTCGGGTTTAGGGTTCCGGGAAACAAGACTCGAAGCCTCTAGCACATGCTGTTGCCGTTTCAACTACTAGTACTAGAATGAGAACGATGCTTGAAGGCAAACAATGTGTGTATGATCTTAGATTATGTATTCGCATAGTGCGTAAGTACCTCGATCAGAGCACCACGGCGGGAATAGTGCGCCGAAATGTAAACCCGGAACCACCCTTGATAGCGTGATCCGAATGCTGAGAGCCTAAGGAAGCAAGAACAAGTTGATACTCTCCTCATTTGGCAGCCGTGGGAGTAGAGGGACTTCCGCACATTCAGTTCTGCCAGGGTGGTGTTACCTGCCTTTGCAGGCACAACCCGTTGCATCGCTCGTGGTGTGCAGGTTTCGCAGTTTTCTGACCGCGCGCGACGACGAATGTGAGACACCCCAGCTTCGTGTACCGAGCTCTCCGAGATTCAATTCTCCACCTTTTCGCCCGGCGACGACAACGACGATGGCGCCCGCTCCGACAGCTTCTACAATACTGCAAGTACTAAGACTCGTGCTAGTTCGAGTGCTAGTGCTAGTCCGAAACGAGCACTTGCGCATGCATTTGTGCCTGCACATGTACCCACACCGTAGTAGTGTAGTTAGTAGTAGTGGTGGTGGTAGAAGTAGTAGCAGTAGCAGTAGCAGCAGCAGTAGCCGTAGCAGCAGCAGAAGGAGGAGTAGTAGTAGTAGTAGCAGTACTAGTTGAGACAATAGTAGGAGTCGTACTAGTAAGCTAGCACGTAGGCTACAACGACGACGACTGGTACTTTTGGTATTCATGTGCTGGCCAATTGCTGCCTCCCTGCGGGCCCAAAGCCCCAATTCTAATCTCACTAGGGAGAGGAACGAGCAGAGATTCAAAGTGACTGTTTTCAGGTTTTCGTGAAGCCTGAAGGCGTAGGGGGCCGTAAAGTTCTGAAATTCTAACGCAAGCCCCCTCAAAATTCAATGCCGCACCTCACGAATGCCCCTGCATACCAGCAGATTTGAATTGGCTTCGTCCAGGAAGCTTCACATGCCAACGATCTCCAGCTCCCTGTTGCAAAATGAGCAGGTGCCGCTTCGAAAGTCGTACTCCACGCTGTTGCATATTGCACATCGGCCGGCTGAAGCGTGCCGTCCGAGCTGCGGCTCCTTCTCCGATTGAGGGCTTACCACGTTTTTCAGGTTTAGGGTTTTGGATTGTTGCGGGGTTTAGGGTTTAAGGGTTATCATATGTAAGGGCTTACGATTTAGGGTTTGGTAGGTTTAGTCTCACAACTCGGCACAGCCAGACGAGGTCTCTTGGTTCGCAGTCGGCTTCGGGGGTTTGGGTTTGGATTAAATGCACGACCCCAGCGATCCTGCTCTCACAGGTATCAATCACAACAACTCAGCCTTTGAAGCCTCATCCCTGAACGGCAACACGCCTGCAAAACACGGGCTATTCGTTGCATGCTACGTACTATATATGATACATATATATATATATGTATATATAGATCTGTATACGTATGTAACAATATTTTCTGCTGTACTACATTTTATAACCAGAACATTACAGCATGCAATATATCATAGCTTTATGTACATAATATCATAGCTTTATGTACATATACATGGGCTCCAAGCCGTATCTCGCGCCTCCTTTAAGAGCTCCGTGATCTGATCGCGTGCTTTGA